GAAGAAGAAGAAGAAGAAGAAGAAGAAGGTACTATTGCTATCTTGTCCCAGCGGTTCCGTCTTCTTCTTCACGGTCCGGAAGAAGCTTGCTCAGAACCTGGAATCCTGACGTGACTGGAGTATTTTGAGATAGGGTTGAATAATTATCATGATTACAATGCTACTTAAGTAACTTGTTTGGTAGGACTGTCTTTAAAGTACCTATTTGCCTTTCTCTTATAATAATAAACTACTGTTACATTTTCAGTAGTTCGAATTTCCAGTTTTCGCGTTAAGATCCGCCAATATAAGGTCAAATTTCCATCAAAAGGCATCAGTTGCCTGAGCAACAGAAGTTTATGTTGACGGAGTCGATTATATTTAGCTCATTAAAACAATTATGAGCGTTTTTAATTTAATATCCTTTGATCACTTACAACACACGATTGAATATTCATGTACACTCGTTAACCGAGAGAATTAAAGGTTTAACCACCTATTCTGTTGGATGGGGAGGTAATAGCTATTTAGGCGGCCCTACAAAACAGCTTTGCCGTAATTTGTTTGAATCAAACAGCCTTTTTTAAGAATTTCGGTTGACATTTCATGTGAAAGAGAACCTATTGTACCATTCAGCTTACTCTCAGAAGCTGGCGCGGACTGACTGACTGACAGTAGGTATTTCCTCCAACCCTTTCAGACACTTGGCTCAATCTTGGCGTAATTTGGTGTCCGGTTGGGGGCCTAACGCTGCTGCTCAACGGTGAGGACTACAATATGCACACGACGGTGCCCAAGACCGCCAAGAAGACGGGTGAAGCCCCACCCTATGTGGTTCTGTCGCGTTACAACACCGACGACGCCTCCTCCTGGCTGACTCCTGCTGAGGCCGAGGCACGCTCGGAGGACCCCCTCAGCTACCCCCTACCTGTGACCTGGGAGCTGGCCGACTTTGCTTTCTCTCAGGCCGTTTTCGTGAGCCAAGCCATGCAGCCGTTTGAATTTGCCAAACACTTCGGCCTTCTGGGCAACAGACTCATCAGCCGGAATTCGAAACACGTCTGGTTCGGCCGGCATCTGGCAGATCCCAAAGTCAGTGACCTGATGAAGGCGTGCCGGAGGAAACTGCAGCAGATGCCCGGTCCCGCTTCGGTGGATAAACGGT